CATGGGAAGACATGAAAGGAAAACCCTGATCACTGAACTCTATGCTTCTTTTGTAAGTTAAAAAAAAATTTAGCTCTAGCAAAACCTTACCTATAAGTCCAACGGCATCATGGGCATGTGACCTGTGCAGTCTTCTAGGACTCCGAGCTTGTTTTAATGCTCTGCTGTCACCATCTTGAAATTCTTCATGCTTTTTGAATGGGATCTCACAATTATGTAGCTGGTTCCACCTGCCTTTATGATTGAAAAAGAGGCAGATTTTAAACCCATTGCTCACTCGATTTAAAAGCAATAAGAAAGGAGTTAGTAGGGACTTTTGCAGAATTAGAAAGAATAAGAAATTTACTTAATTTGGAAAACGAGCTGTGTGCTGGAGCCTGATTTTGAATCTAGACCTAATTGTGAGAGAGATGAACAAAATGAGGTACCTACAAAACAGTAGTTTGCCTTCAACAAATATTCAGTATTCTAGGCATTAAGAATATGGCAGTAATTTTTTAAAAATCTCTATCCTAAATTGAACTTACATTCTTAAGTGGAGATAGACAATAAACAAGATAAATTAGTAAAATATGTAGTATGTCAGAAAGTAATATATGTTAGGAAGAGAGAAATAAAGCAGGGAAGAATATAATTTTGTGTGTGTGTGTGTCTGTGTGTGTGTGTGTGTTGTGTGATGAAATTTTGGGTGACATGACCGGGAAACTGTCACAGAGAGATGAATTCTGGGTAAAGATCTGAGGGTCTAAAATGAGTCTTTAACTATGTGTACATCTGGGAGAAGTAAATCCCAGGCACCTGGAAGAACAAATGCCAACGCCACGAGGAAGGAATGTGGTTGGTGTGTAAGGACCAGAGAAGCCAGAGTGCCCGGAGTACGGACAAGCCAGGGGAAGACATGAAGTCAGAGAAGCAGGGGGAGGTGGGACAGTTCACGCAGGATCATAGCTTTGACTTTGAGGGAGATGGGAATCCACCGTAGAATATTGAGCTAAAATGTGACGTGATCCAACTTGTTTTCAGAAAAACACCCAGTTGCTGTGTTCTTGCACTGAATATGTGACTGAAATCCAGTTAAGGCCTCCGTAGAGACTTTTGAGATTCTGGAAGGTGTAAGCTCCCTATGACTTCTGAAAGCCCAATGTTTTACGGATTGGGTAAAATATGGGAGCTAGATTCCATATACAAAACTATTTTTGTGAGCATCGTTGCTAGAAGGAAAGTACTAAGGACTTATAAAGTCCTTGACTATAACTTAGACTTTATGTCACACCTCCTAAGAAGAATGTCCGTAATTCTCATACTTTATTACCCTCCCAGCATCCCCAGCAGTTGGGAGATGTGTTGTTGATAGGCAACTGTCACAGAGAACAGTTCAGTGACTAATGGAGTCATTAAGCACATTAATGGTAGATCTGAGTAGAACCAGAGCACTCACTCACATCATTTTAGCCAAACTGAATGCTCCCCAAATCACAAAATGTGTATCACTACCTAAATCACCCACACATCAGATTGGCTGAGTTCTAATGGGCAAATTTATTTCAGTTACTCTACTTTGTGCCTCTTATCCCATCTAAGCCAAACTTTGATGTAAGTAGCTGTCTAAAATTAGGATAAAGTCTCAAAAGGTGTGCTCTCAATAGTTTTAGAATGAGAACGTACACAATAACTGAAAGCCACTTATCATCACTTAATTCTGGTGATCCCAGGCACAAAACCAACAAATTCATGGATGTGGTAAGTACTGGCACCAGCTCTTGTTCTCAAAACTATTTTATGAGCAACACTCCACCACGAGTAGAGATTCTATCTGCTTTCTTCACTGCCTTTCTTCACCATTGTCATCATAAGGCAACATTCATTGAACGTCCAGAGTTTTGGCACTCTTGTTTTTTGAACCAAGTGGCGTAGTATGAAAAAGGAAAATATGAATATTATTCCCTTTTAAAAGGACTCTCTGTGAAGAGCATAATGACAGAGAAATAGACACTGGAAATTGTTTGCTTTCACTTCTTATTAAGAATTTACTCTGCTTCTTTTTTTTGATAAAGTAACTGAAAAAACTATTTCAGTTATGGCATATGCTATTTAAATCAACTTGCTGCCTGCATTAGTGAACTAGCTTCAGAAAAGTCCCAGTTAAATAGTATCTGCATCTCACTGCAGCATCATCTTGATTTATACCAGAAGCACGTTCTGAGGCCCTAATAATTAAGTTTTAATTCAATAACACTTTTATCTTGAAAAAGCTGCCTGGCCTGAACTGGAATCGGGCCTGTCGTGATGGTAACACATTTGTTAGAGGTCCAGAGAGGACCAAAATACAGGCTTCGAGTGCCCCCTGGTGGCTGATAGGCAGAATAACCAAACATGATTTGAAGTCTGTAATAAACTGGCAGAT